GGGAGGGGGGAAGGCTATTTCCCTCACCAATTATAATCAGAGATGGAAGCAATCTCTCAAAAAATTTTGTTCACCACATATTACTTCATTGCTTACTTTGTCTTCAATTTTAAAACAAAGCTGATCAGGTTTTATTTAGTAAGCACATAGTCCGTAGTCTAAAACAGCCATATGCACTGTTCACAGCCAAAAGCTCCATATCCCAGACTCTAGCGTGGAGATCATCAGGAGAAAAAGCGTCGCTGTTTCAGGCTCTTCCGCTCTACAGCTTTTCTGATGCAACAGGTAGTGTACACCAATTTTTGTTTGTTTTGAATTTGCGATTTTTCCGTATTTTTAAGTGAATTCATATCGTAAAAAGGTTCAAACGGATGGCACTGCACTGGGAAACTGGAATCCAACAGGAGAGTTTGTATTGGCCGTTAGTATTCATCACTTCCACGAGAATTCAGACAGAACCTGTCAACTGTGAAGTTAAGACACGTCTGTGTGCACTGGTTAAAAACGTACACAGGAACCAAGGGCATAAAGTATGCTGGTGGTGTTTCCTTTGAACTTGTTTTATGCACTGCACAAAAAACAACAACCTGGAGTACACTACTTAACATTTGGCAAAGGTGTAAAGCTATACTTTGAACCATACTGTTTGAGCACTTAATTAGCCTACCTCACATTCCCTAAGCAACAAATAAGTACTTGGCAAGTGATGCAAACTGGATATATGTCAACCATAATAGTTAAACCTAGGTTCCCTAGGGGACAGAGTTTGTACATTTGAATGAACAGGTTAGCCAAAGAAGAAATGGGTAATAACATGTATGAGTTTTCTGTTGGAAAGGACGCAAGACTGTAAATTATACCGTATTTATCCCCGGCAAGCCGCTCACAGCGGCACGCGGTCAGAACTGCTGTGTTGGTGAGCTGCTGACAGTGGCTTGGGCACATTCCTTCATGATGATTTCCACATCGAATTACTTTTCAGTAATTGCCAAAAACAAGTCTCATTTATCGGGATTTCATTCGTTATATGAAGAACTATCAAAACAGGTTCACTTGTTTTGATTTAATGACCAATTTAGGGACGATTTCATCATTTTTAGATTGAGTACCAAAAAAGGCCCCCCGCAGAGTGGGTTTACCCCCCTCGGAAATGAAGAGTTACCATTGAGTTAATTCCTAGAAATTATCAGAGCAATCATCACATGCAAGAAACGGTCCAAATTGTCCAAGACTGCCACCCATTGTAGAGGGAAAAAGAGGTTGTCTAAGATAGGACATCCTGGACAGCATTATTATAATATTTTTTAAAATGCAAAGGGGTGGTGAAAAGTGGTCATGTGTGCAGGTGACTGTTTTATACAGGTGAACGCAACAGCAGGTTATATGGTATTCTATTTTGGCAAACTGACTTTTTGTAAAATTTTTCCTTTTCATATTTTGAGAAACTCATTTTTCCTCCCACTAAAATAAGCAAATCCTATGTTCTCTCAGACACTAAAAAAGAGGGGAAAACTTATAATCAGTCAATAAAAGGTGATTAAGTTTTCTTATTTTAAAACAACAAAAATAGAAAAACATAAAACATGCATCCAATGATAAAACACATGTCTTCTCTTACATCCCATTTATAATTTCCACTTATCAGATATTTTCAGTATTTCTCTTTGAAAACATTTTCTGATCAACAAGCAAAGCATAACACTAGGAACATTATAGCCTATGTATACTAATGGGGACTGCTTGAACTGAAAACAGTTTATCTGAAAACAGGGGAAATCTGAGAGACAACGGAATCCCTGTTTTTTCTTTTTACTTCTTGGACTTTGAATGAAAGCCGCTGATTAGCTGAAATACTCTTATTTGAAACTGAAAAGAATTTCCGGGGTTATGTCATCTAATTCTTCGCTAGCAACTCCTGAAAAAAATGCAAGACATCAAGTTATAGTTATATGAGCTTCAAGAAAACAAAACAGAAGAACGAGACTCGAGAACCCACGTGTGCTAACTGTGGACCAAAATACGAATATATATGTAAAGTGACACTAACAAGGATAGCCAATGTTTGTCTGTCGTGCAACCTATGATAGGTCATGGTCTACTGTCTCTGTGAAGCTAGTTCACATACACATGAGCATGTGCATGGCATGTGATGTGAGCCATTGTGGCAGTTCCCAGAACAAAACAGAATCAAAATAAAAAAAAAAAAACAGAGGGCTGATCATGTAAAATTCATTGAGGTCAGTGTCAGTTCAAGCCTGTATCATATATATGAGTTCAGGTTCTAGAGCTCATCATACCCATCCAGGCGGCTTCGGTCCAGCTGATCAAGAAGTTTCATCTCTGTTTGCTGCAACAACCCTAGTTGGGCTTTATCGGTATTGGAAGACAGACTGAGCTCTGTGTACAGGCGCCGTGTCTCCTCTATCATGCGGAACAGGCTCTTCTCTTCCTCTTCCTGAGAACACACCACAAAACATACACAGAGCTACTTGCTTTGGAAATGTTCAAAAGAGAAAAACTGAAAATAGTATCTGAAATGCGGTGATTGTAAATGGAAAGTAAGTGAAAGTACATTTTTTAAATAATTCAATGTATTAGAGGTATTTTGACTAGGATAAAGACTAAACGAGCCTTAACTGTACATTAAAATATGACTTTTGATTCGGCTGACCCACTATATTCTAGACTGCTTGACGGAGTAAAGAGTAAAAAGAAGCACATTGATACTATAATTGATCATTTAGTGAATGAAAGCAGCAAGAATAAAAACAAGAAAAAAACAGGGAGAGAAAAGATGAGGGACCTACCAGTGGCATTTTCCAACCACCCAAGGTTAAGAATGAGACCAAATGCACTCTCAAAGTCAGCTCAACAAAGCATGATTTTCCATCTCACTAGTCCACACCTTTCAACTATTATGGCATGTCTTTTATTTTAAAGGTCCTCTCAATCCTTAATTGCTTAACAAACTCTCCGTGGGTGGCTGGAGGACGCCACTGGTAGGTTCTACTTCCTTGCTTTTCATCTGTTGTTTCTGTCCATCTGTCTTATTTTTTCCTAGCACTAAATGACTATGGGGGATCTCGTGGTCTAGAGGTTAAGGTGTACGCCTCTCATTCAATAGATCCTGGGTTAAATTCGGATAGCAACGGAAGATTTTCTTCTGTCACATCCTTTCCTGCTCTTTTAACAATGTCCAAACGTCTGCTTTTGTCTCTACTTTCTGCCCCCACCCCTTCACCTTCTTTACCCCCTCCTTTGGGCTCCTGACTCTTCCTGCAGCCTTTCTACCACTACTCCTTGGCTCCTTCTTACTGCTGTCTTTCAGCCACACCCCTTGACCTTATGGTAGGTAAGATCTTCACCTAGCCTTCTCAGGCAAAAAATCTCGGAAGTCTTGAGTGAAAGTAATGCAGGTTAAAGATCCGTTGGTGGTCCAAAATCGATTACAGTAGGCTTAGGCCTCCACCGCACAAAATTCAAAATGTCCTACCAAACTGAAAATGTTTAAAGTGTCCCGAGCGCTCATATGACCTTATGCAGTTGCGAGCGCAGTAAAACACTTACAAAAAAAAAAAGACTATTAAAGTGTTGATGTGCTTCTCTTGACTCCAATCTTGTATATGTTATATACACAGCCTCCAGTATGTTATGTACACAGCCTCCAGTATATGTTATATACACAGCCTCCAGTATATGTTATATACACAGCCTCCAGTATATGTTATATACACAGCCTCCAGTATATGTTATATACACAGCCTCCAGTATATGTTATGTACACAGCCTCCAGTATATGTTATCTACACAGCCTCCAGTACATGTTATCTACACAGCCTCCAGTACATGTTATATACACAGCCTCCAGTATATGTTATGTACACAGCCTCCAGTATATGTTATGTACACAGCCTCCAGTATATGTTATATACACAGCCTCCAGTATATGTTATATACACAGCCTCCAGTATATGTTATATACACAGCCTCCAGTATATGTTATGTACACAGCCTCCAGGAGCAGGGATGAGAAAGCACAATATGAATTATCACATGTACGCAGACGATACACAGTCATATATAAATCTGTTCCACCATCAGATGTTAAAACCTTGCTTACCACCACGGGTCTGTGCATTGATGACGTCAAAAAATGGATGATTGATAATAAGCTCCAGCTTAATGAAAATAAAACTGAAATTCTTTTATGTAACCCAAAGAAAAGCCATATCCCTGTAGACATTGATCATATTTGTACTGAAAATAAAAAACTGTATTTTACTGATAAAGCAAAAAATCTGGGAATGTATTTAGATTCAAAATTGTCAATGGAACATCATATCAATTATTTATGTACCATTTTATTTTGTGAATTGCGTTGAATTGGTTATATGTCTATGTTTTTGAATGAACCCTTGCTGAAAACGCTTGTGTCATCTTTCTTGTTTTCACGCATCGATTATTGCAATGCTTTACTAGCTAACAAACCATATACTACTCTTCACAAGTTACAACGTTTTCAAAATCATGCTGCTAGGCTTGTACTAAAGAAAAAGAAGAGGGATCACATTACTCCCATGTTAAGAACATCGCATTGGCTTCCCCTGTCAGCTGGAATGTCATATAAAATTGCAATATTATGATATAAATGTGTCAATAACAAAGCTCCCTCGTATCTTAGTGATCTCATCCAGATTTATGTTCCATCTAGATCAGTAAGATCAGGCGATCAGTATCTTTTCAGAGTTCCTAGAAAAGGGGGTAAAAAATTTGCTGAAAGATCGTTTGCCCACCTTGCTCCATCAGTTTGGAACTCTCTTCCCCAACCCTTGAGACATAAAACATCTGAGTCTAAATTTAAAATCTTTAAAGACACATTTAATGCCATCATTTTTATGTCAGTAGATTCATGTTCAGTTCAATGTTATTTAAATGACTATGTATACATTTACGTATTTTGCGAATAGCATTGTGTATATTATTCTATTAAATATGTGTATGTGCTCATTTCGTAACGATGTGTAAGCGTGCGCATGTGATAAGCAAATAGATATGTGTGCGAGTGTGTGTGTTTGGTGTGCATGTGTGTGTAATGTGTGCGTGAGTGTGTATGTGTATGTTTGTGTGTGTATGTGTGTGTGTGTGTATGAGTGTGTGTGTGCGTGAGTGTGTGTGTCACGTGCGTGAATATTGTTTGTACATGCATTTATGTAAAGCGCCTAGAGCTGTGTTTACACGGGAGTGGGCGCTATAGAAATGACCTTCATTATTATTATTATTATTATTATTATTATTATTACTACAAACACATAAACTCTGTTGGAGAGTCAGCATGTAAGGAAATCCTGCACGGCTTCTTTAATCTGACCAGCCCCTGAAGCTCATAAGATATGTGAGGCAGCGTGATGGAATCAGGCTCTCGCCAATTTGGGGGCATGTAGAGTTATTGGTATCATCTTAAAGCTTGTTCACTTGTCTTTATTTGGATGAAAAAAATATCCATTTATCTAGAATACAAGTCGAGATATTTGCAAATGAAGGAGGTGGGGGTCACCTGTTTTCAGAGGTAAAATTGGTGAGAAAATGGCCTCCAAAGATTAGTTATTTCCTTAGTTTAAGAGTCTGTGGTAACTGAAAATTTACATTTTTTGTGCCTTTAATCAACGTTTTTCAGAAAAATCCACACGGAAATGAGTTTTTTAATGGGCATGAAAGGTGTTGAGCCAAAAAACTAAAATTTGATAACAATTCACAAACCTGCGGAAAAATGCAAGTTTCTTCACTTTGATTATTTTGACGAGAGCCTGATACCACCACACTGCCTCACATATAATAACAAAGAAACTCTCATATAACTCACCTTGGGATTTTTCCTGTCTACATGCACCAGTAGTAACGATAAGGGGATATCCTCACTGTAACTGTTTTGCATTTGCACAGATCTGTAACCTGAAATTTGAGAAAATGACACACCTGTAAAGGTTACAGAACTCTTATAAATGCCATTCTTTTTTAGAGAAGAGTATATGTGTGTCATGACACCAACTGATCAAAAGAAACAAAAATTTTAAAAAACTTACCAGCTACGCCTAAACAGCAGGACAACAAAGCTCAACGAAGTTTCTTAAACAATGGATTTAGCTTTTGTAAGAGTTTTACGGCACTTGCAAACACAATAAGGTCATATTAGTGCCGAAGAATAGATGTGGTACAAGAGAGTAACATACGCGAAAAAGAAAGAGGAGAGATCAGGACGATGGGTGTTTGATAGGAAAGAAGGGAGCAAACCACACAAGAGCACCCGCCAACCACCCACAAACAATGGACTGCATTCTATGACATTTTGCAAACACAGGCAGTCAAAGGGCTTGTCTTATAAGAAATGTTTTTATGCCCCCATCAACAAAATTTAGATCATTTAGGAGGTGGGCTTTGACCCTCCCTGTCAGGACCAACCCAGGCAGAGAGGGATACAGCATCCTTGCAAAAAGACTGAAATACTCTTAAAAAATTCTCCCCACTCGGGAATCGATCTTAGGTCTCCTGCAGGCGTTGGCGTAGTGCCTAATTGCCACAACACAAGTGCCAGTTCACAGGGCTTGCTCATTTTCAAAAAGAAAACATGAAAAGAGGATGACTCACCTTGCTGTATGCATCTGAGAGGGAAGGTGGCTTGACTGATGTAGGAACCAGCGTTCACTTCATTTCCTACTTCAAAGCGAAGGAAGGCCAAATCAGGGCATGAGATGTTAAAGACAAACATCTCATTCTTCCAGGTTGGATTTAAGGCGTTCCCATCTGTGGAAGAGAACAAATTTGAGGTGTGCAAACAAAATGAGTTACTTCTTGCATATCGTGAAAGGAGATATCGACTGAAAAACAAAACAGGGGTCAAATTTGTAGATTTTCAACTGACGCCATTTTCTTCAAGATTAACTGGTCTTTCATAATTTCATATTTAAATATTGTGCAAACTAAAACTATAAAACTTGACATATCTAAACCCATGGGGCTAAAATCCGAGAAGTAACTCATTTTGTCAGCACGTTTCACAAATTCTGTGTTTGATATATAGTTTGTTTGGTTAAGTAAGTGTTTTACGGCACTCGCAACACAATAAGTTCATATAAGTGCTGAAGATTAGAAGTGTCACTAGAGAGTACTAATACCAAAAAGTAGGAGGGGAGATAAAGACGATAGATGTTTGATAGGAAAGAAGAAGCAAACCACACCAGAGCACCCGCCAACCACCCACTTTGATTTATCGACAGACTGGTAACTAAAGTCACAGATATCATAACACTTTGGATACTTTCACAACCAGTCCCATCTCTGCTTCGCCCGCTGAAGTCCACAGACAAACTTGTAGATAAATTCTTCAAGATGCCCAAAAATATCAACACAAGATCCTGAGTTGCGTGGACAAAACTAGGCTTCCTTTTTTCTTCTCTTGGTTGTAACTGAACTACAAGAAGCTTCCTGCCTCCATACGTACTCAAAGGCCACATCTAGCAGTCACTACAACATGTGTAGCTCTGAGTAGGAGCTCAATACTGGGCGAAAATGGCGATGGATGGGTAATCGCAGCAAGAAAGAGTTGAATTAACTTGCTTGGAACTTGCTTCTTATTCAGGTGAATTGTAAAAAGTGATATGTTTACAAATTTTATGTCTTTAATCTTTACTATGAAATCGCCAGAGAAGCAAACAAATAAGAAATAAGTATGAATTAAAACAATCAGGAAACGACAAATGCAGTTTTTGGGACACCTCAATAGACATAAGGGTCTTGAAAATCTAGCTCTCACTGACTAAATTGAGGGCAAGCGAGGCAGGGGTAGGCCCAGAACAACATACTAAGGGAACCTAAACAAATGGATAACAGGGAAAAACATAGCTTTTTTGAGAGCACCCGAGGAAAGTTATGAAAGGAAAACCATGATCGCCGATGTCTGTGGCTGATCTGGCACTGGATGATGATGACGATGATGAATTAAAGGGGTCAAACTTGAGAATTCCATGTATCAATCAAATATATGTGTTTGTTTTTTGTGCAAGTTACAACATCATCTTTGCACATTTTTATACGTATTGGCATGGTATTTTTTTAGGATGAGGAAATGAATAAGGGTATTAAAAGCAGAACTAATTTATAAACACATTCATATTACATAAAGACTGAAATTTCAAGGTTAAACTGAAAGTTATAAATAAAGAAATAACTTTTCTTAGATATTGGTGAGAAAACAGTAACATGTCAACATAAGGAGAACCCTGCTGGTTTCTGAGAGGGGAGTGAAGATAAGGAAGGGCCGCACAAAAAGTATGAGCAGAATGGGACAGACTTCAGATCTTGGTTCGAGACTCACCTACTATGCTCCTTTTACCTCTGCAGAGATCAATTAATCTGATCTACCTTCAGAGTAGGCTCCGTATCTTGAAACAGTCCTACTTATCAATATCACATACAGGGTAATAACTTTCATCCAATCATGAGTCTTTCCATTCAATACTGCTAAACCATGCTCGCATAACATCCAGCTTTTACCCAACACTAGAACAATGAGAATGTATGAAGAAGCTATCATGTTACGATTATACAGAGGTCAGAATCCTCTCACCTTTGCGTAAACTCGTACGCTCTCTCTGATTGTCCAGTGGCAGTCCCAGAATTTCCACAGCCACGTAAGGGTGTACAACTCCGCCCGAGAAATCTCCCAGAGACAAGTTCCGACCTCCGAGGACTCGAATCGTCAGCACGATGCACTCAACTGAGCCAGACATGGACACCAGGTTCCCGGGGTTGTAGTGGGTATTGTTCATGAAGCTTGGTTTCAACACGTAGCCGCATCTGGAAATTAGAATAATTGTTAAGGTCTTCCATCCCGCTCTCTTGATGGACATCATTCAAGGGACAGGATGCTTTGACCCACATTATCAGGGACAATGCTATTCGTATCCCCGCCTTTCCCCACAACATGGGCCCAAGGCGTACATAGGAGATTAAAAACGCATTCATACTAAAACCATACAAATTCATCATACAATAAGGGCTAAGAGGGATAAAGCTTCTTAGTAGAAAGATACAGCCATCCAAAAATACTTCCACATTTGGGAACTGAGTTCATTTTTTGGCAGACAAGGAAAAGGGCTGAATCATTTCACCAAAGAAGCTGTACTGAGCATAAAACATAAATCAGACACAACATCAAAGATATCGAAATTCAGAGACAGGACACTGAGATCATATAGTATATATGTGAATGACATTATAGGAATGGACCTGCCAAGTACATAAAAAAACCCCAAAAAAACTTTCATTTATTTATTGACTCATTATTTTGTTTTACTTTTGTTCAGTTTTACACGAAACCCACTTTTTTTCTAGCAACCAGCAGATCATATCAAATTACAAATACACAATTCCATGCCAAGCTATGTAAGTATTGGTCATTTTCTATACCCAATTTGCTTCTTCTCCAGTTGCTGCACACATGTAGATGAAAAATCAAAGTGTTCAGGATAGCACTGGTTGCGAATCAATCCAGGAATTTTTGCTAAAAAGATAAGCTCCTACACTTGGGCAAAGATAGTACATAACAAGATGGTTCACTCAGCCAAAAAAGTGTCTGCCGAAAGTCCGCTCTTTGTTTCAGATGGCGCTGTTTTGAAGCTCTCTTTCGTTTTTCCAGAAGAAGAATAGGAATAGCACCTCCTTGCGTGCGCAGATCGACTGCTGTTCATCAGCAGTTCGGGTTCATTCAGTCCGGAGTCTTATTTTTTAAATATTTTAATGACCTCTCACCTTTCATTCTAAAGTCAAATTAACCGTTTCGCACTTACAGCGCCCGTATGCGAATGCGCCGGTGACCCCCGCTCATCCCTATAGCGCCCGAATACGCCCGCCACGGGGGTGTTTGTTTCGTTGCCGCGGGAGGCTTCTACTTTTACTATCATCAGAAGTTTCACTTAGCTATCTTTAGAGAGGAAGAGTTCCGGTTTACTATGGTGTTTTTCTTGTTTCGCTAGCACAAAGAGTCACTTTTTGAGCGGGAACAAAAGTCGGAATAGATTTTAGTTGTAAACAGGCCATCGTGTCTCTAGGATGCATGGGCGCAAAGCTGCCCGATATGAGTACGGCAAAACCAAAATAAAAACACCCAAAGAAAAGTCTTTTAGGTGCTTTCAAGTTTCCACCAGAGGCTTCAATCTCTGTGAATGTGTTGTATTTCTTTTGTGTGGATTACCTCTTTGTCAGTGGCAGAAACTTCGTGAGTTGAAGAAATGTATACGAGGTCTAGATCTAGATCTAGACTCGTAATCCAAGACACGCATCTCAGAAAGACCTCTCATACCATTTCATACTCTTCTATTCCTCTTATAATTTTGTACTAGTAATTTAGCTCATTAATTTTCCTTTCAGAAAATACTATTTTCATCATTTTTGGTTGTGTTTGTGATTTTATACAATTTTTTTAGTAAGGTACCCCTTCAATTTTCGTGGAGTTGTTGCCCTTGTCTAAAGGATGGGGGGCCACAGCTGGCCAAGCCTGCTAAGTGCGAAAGGGTTAAACGAAAAAAACAATCACTCCTTCCTTGGAAGAGGTTTTTTGTCAGCGTAACCATTTCAAAAAAGCGTTTTTCCTAAATTTATTCAAAAACTTGCTAGTTTCACTTTGATTTTTTTAAACACAAGTAGGGTAACTCTGTTCGCAAAGGGTGCGCATTTGCGAAGAGGGCACCACTGAATTTTGAGGACACTTTTTTAATTGGCTCAAAGAGAGGAGTGTCCCCTCTTATTATGTAGACTCTTTGACTTAAGCAAGCAAGCTCTCTGCTGTCCAAAGCTAAAAGACCTTTGAACATACGAACCTCCTGAAATCACGAAAGTGAGTTACACATCTACTTACCTTCCATTTTGGAGAAACTTTGCTTGGTTCAGTTGCATTCCTCTATCTGGAGTCTGGTAGTTCAACGCAACCATCTGGCACCCAACATTCCATTTTGGCATAGGATCAAAGTTTGCAGAGTTAATTCGAGTCGCCTTGGGGTATACTCTGCTAATCTGAAATTGATTGTACCTTGGGGGGACAAAAAAAAGAAAATTATTGACTTGTATGTTCATCTCTCTTCCAGTCCTCCTTCAGCTCCCAAGGACATCCGCAAAAAAAAAATCCAACTCCTTCTCTTTCCCCATACTGGAGAGTACAATTCCTCCTGCATCTTTTAAATAGTGATGTGATTGACGACAAACTGCGACAATCGACAAATTGTTGACAAAAGGAAATCGTTGTCGACAATTAGTCGATAAAACAAGGGAACGAACTATGTACTTATTTATGCTTACATGCGAGTATACCCTTCTTGATGCCGGCCACATCTCGCCGATCAGCAAGAACGACGAACTTCCACTCCCGTCACAAACGCCGATCGGCGATGTTTACCTCCTAGTTTTTTTTTATTTCCCCCAAAATGCTTGTGATGGCAAGGGTTTTTATAACATGAGCCTCGTGATAGCCAAGTGTTAATTGCCAGCCCCCATGACATTTGATTGTAAATTAGAGTAATAAACAGTTTGTAGAAATTTGTCGACAACGAGGTGTATTTGTCGACAAAATATTTCAGTTGTCGACAATTACATGACTACTTTTAAATTGTTACTAGAGGTTTGCTGACGGGACACGTAAAGGATTAGCTGAAGTGAGGATCAAGTGCGCACAACAATTACAACATTTATCTTTAGAGGTCTTCCAAAACGGAGCTAAAAAGAAACAAGCACCCATTTTCATCCTCATCAAATGAAAAAAAAGGTCAACTTCTTCACTCAGGAAAAGACAATGTCGAGCAAAAGCTGAATATCTCAACTAAAATTTTTTAAAACATGTTACAAAGAATAAGGATACATCCTTGTTTCACTTAAACAATATAAAATTACTGTTTACCAGGTAGGTATTAAAATTTTTAAAATCATTTGAGATTCAAGAAAGGTTATATATACCATCTTGACATATGCCACGATACTTTCAGACTTACAACACAACACTACAAGGTATGGGAATAACTTAACTTCTTATATGAGGCGTAACTACAAATTTGAGATAAAATCTGATATTTAAATACGTTGAGCACCAACAAAGGTTTCGTAAAGTAGATGGACACCCTTTCAAAATCGTAGAGCAGTAATAATAATAACAATAACACCAACTGTGCAAGGGTCCAAGACACACAACAGGCATCCAACAAATCTTAATACAAAAATGTTTAGGGTTTAAAATCTTAACACAATACAGTGGGTGTCGCATTCAACGAGGTTGCCGGGACCGGCTTGTTGTCCTCGTTGGATCTGACCTCTCGTTGAACGTGAGTAAGGATAAAGAAAAGAAAGGAGACAAGTTATTATATTACACCATGTGCCAATACCAGTAATCAAAACAGTTGTTCCCCATGACGATGAAAATCTCAAACAGCGTGTTTGAGCTGTGTTCTGACCGTCATTTCTGCATTTTCTTTTCCGGAACAATTCTCGTGTGGAAACATACCCTCTCACATCTAGGCCTAGATCTACTCTAAATAAAATGAAGGCGGGAGCTTGGATTTTCTGATCAGGGGCAGAAAAGAAATTTGAAAAAAATTAAGGTCTTGATCTAGACCTAGGCCTACCCATCCAGATTTCATCCAGTTTCACACAGCCCGCATCGTGTTCCCCCCCAACCCCTCCCATCCCTATCATAGGCTAACCCTCGCCCTTCCTCTTGGCTTTGGGGTCAATATTAGGAGGCACACAAGATCTAGCAATACAATGTGTTAGGAATTGTGAATGTGCCTAGTGCCTCGCATGACATGGAGAGAAAGGAGAAAAATTCTTCGCTTTTGGGGCCGTTAATTGCTTTTATTTGGTAATTGCGACATCGCTGAAAGCAACTTCGGTCTGTTTGCAACCTCGTCGGAGCTGACGTACATTTACAAAGAGATATAGAGAAAAAAATCGGGGACTAAGGATTGCCTCATTGGAGCCGACTTCTCGTTGAAAGTGACCTTGTTGAATGCGACACCCACTGTAGACATAAGAGGGAGTTTGCATAATAACAAAATGACCCTCCATGATATTACCATTTCTTCAGAATGTGCCATAACATTCACTTCTTGGCTGCATGAGAAGCACTAAGCCTTGAGTACTATCAGCCAGCAGCTCCCACACAAAAGGAAGGTACAGTAGCAACAGAGTAGCTGTAGCCTCCTGCAGCCCATCTCACAAAACAGTAGGCTACACAATTCCACAGCTACTCACAAGAGAAAAATAAATTTCAGAGATACCAAAATAGATATTAACCCTATCCGTACGCCCTGGGGTCGTATTCTTCGCATTTTTAGAATACTTCTATTACGAAGATCTCTTTGAACCTTTCAGTATTTTTCAAAAAAATCATTTTGACAGACTGCTATGCAAAGTGTACGGATCGGATTAACGAGTAAATTTCCTCTTTGAAAAGTGGTGGCACAGAGTTCCCCACGTCGTATGGATACGATAGTAAAACACGAAGTACGGATAGGGTTAGATATCTTTCAGCAAAACGTCTTGTAGACCTAAAACATAGAAGTCTTACTGAATGATTGTCTTGTCATCTTTGCCAATTTTCTCCTCACTTAAGGAAGACATCTCACAGTAGCGACCCTTCCCTGGGGACAAGAACAGTGTGTCTCAAGCACTAAGGATACTGGAACTGATCATTTCAAGGCTAGAGACCTCTTAATCAATAAAAAAGAAAAAGTCAACAAGAACTGCAAAGTTACTTAACAAAAAGAAAAAAGAAATATCCTTTTTTTAGAAGAATTTTTACTGTGCTCGCAACTGCATAAGGTCACATGAGAGACAAGGGGTGGATGTCAACAGAGAAGTCTATACAGGGAATCAGGCTTACTCTGCTCGCCCCTCTCTAGCTTCAACAGCACAAAGTCTGCTTCGACTATCAAGGCACCCCGGACATAGCGGGTCACAAGAGAGTGACAAACATACATAAGAAGTAGAGAAATGACGATAGTAAGCATTAGGAAAGAAAAACCAGCAGTTCCTCGTGCGCAGTTCAGGCACAGTCATGCGCATGACATTGATGAATCAGCCCATTTACGTTTCTACTGTACATAAGAACATGTCAATGCCCCCCCCCCCCCTCTTTGGGAATGGTCAGAAGATATTTCAGTCAGTAGCACTGCCGGGGGGGGGGGGGGGGGGGAAACAATATCCTATTGGCTACCTACAGGACTATAGCTACATAAAGTTTGCAGCCTCTATAACAGCCATAATGAAAACAACTGGTTGAGTTATATTGTAGTACACAACAAGGTGACACAGTCATGGCCACATTTTGGTAAGGAGTAGATAATAATTATGAACGACAGTAAAATGCTAAGAAAAGAAGAAGCTGACAATACCATAGCATGCACATATAAGTTTTAAACAGAATTCAAAGTAATAGAGTACAGAGAGCAACCCATAAATAAGATAGCTAATGCTAAGAGAAGGAAGAACCATACATATACTGGGCACAAACTATGCAGGAAATATTTTTAAACATTATTAAAGAAAATATGCATTTTTTAGGTTTCATTCACAGAAACACAGGCACAAACAATTTACTACTTTCACTGAAATATGCCCCTATACTAGTTTGTGGCAGAAATCAGTTCAGAAGCATAATCACCAGTAACTGTTATAAGCATTGTGCCTGCTCACTTTGGAGCTGAGATATGGGCAGTGTAAATGCAGTCCAAAATTATTATTGATAGTGGTAACATAACAGGTTCGGAGTCAATACATTCAGCCACCTACTTGCTAGGTTATAAGGGACAGCCTGACAATAGATCACCATGTCGGAGAGCTCTTGAGCAATCTTCTTTGACCTTTCTTGCTTCTGTAGCTGCTGAGCCTGAAAAAAAAGAGACTTGGCTGACCTTCATACAGCAGATAAAATTCTTCAACCTGTTGGCCATCAGCTTAGTTATCTTTCTCTCTCTCTCTCTATCTCTCTCTCTCTCTCTCTCTCTCTCAGGATAAACCATAGCTTTCAATAGGTCTAAATGTTTCCATCTTCATTCTAGGGATCCAAAAAGGTTCAAATTTCTAAATATTCAGTTGAAACTGTCTACGTCGGTCATCCATTGTCAAGGAGAAAAGTGGCAGTCTTAAGACAGGTGACTATCTTACGCAGTGTTATTATAGTGTAAAAAATATACAAGGGAGGATATGGGAAGTGGATGTTTGTACAAGTGATGTTTTTTCAAATATAGGTGACCATTAGAGTTAGAGCAGGTTCAGTTATCTAAGTAAAATCAAAGGAATGCCATCTGCAGAGTCAGACAGGCTGAAAGCAAGCAATTCTGACAGAGTGCTTTATCACCTCTTCTCCCAAGCGCATAGTTGAGGCCTCCACTTGCTGGACCCAAGCTTCAGTCTCTTCCTTACAGGTACATCCCATCTCGATGGTGCCGGGCATGTCACGGTGGGTCACCATGAAGTAGTGGACACCGTCCTTTTGTCTGATTGTGGTTTCTGATGTAAGCAAACAAACCCAAACACACACTCAAGGTTAGTTGTAGTTTAGTCGTAGTAAAAGTTTTATACGGCATTTGCAATGGAAATAGGTCATAAAAGTTCTGAAGATTAGACTTGTTACAAGAGAGAATCATACAAAGAAAAGAAGGAGGAGAGATCAGGATGATAAATTTTGTTTGATAGGAAAGAAGGAGCACCAGAGAACCCCTCAATCACCCACACACTCAAGGTCAAAGACAAGCCCAAACACAAGCCTGATTACAGACACACAACAATACACAATGAGACGAGAGTACAAAAGGCTAAGTAGTAAGTAGTAAGTCTTAGTGTTTTACGGCACCTGCAACACAATAAGGTCATATAAGTGCCGAAGATTAGAGGAGTTACAAGAGAGTAACAAACACAAAAAAGAAGGAGGGGAGATCAGGACGATAGATGTTTGGTAGGAAAGAAGGAGCAAACCACACCAGAGCACCCGCCAACAACCCACGCAAAAGGCTAACAGCGTCAGCTACCAGCTTGCCCCACTCCTCAAACATCCTAACATCCCTATTGAGACCAAAGCCGAGCTCATTAACTCTATCCTCATCCCCACATTGACCTACCAGTGCCAGACATGGACCCTGACCAAAAGTCTGGAACGTAAGATAACCACCTGCGAGATGAGATGTCTAAGGAGAGCCGTCAACAAAACCAGACGGGACATGGTCAGAAACAACAAGATCAGAGAAAAGGTGGGAACAACACCTGTCCTCCACTACATCCGAAGGCAAACAATCAGGTGGTTTGGACATCTCACACTTATGGCACCTAACCAGCTTGCCAGTAAAGCCTACTACAGGAAAGTATCAAGGTACAAAGCAAGAGGAAGACCAAGAAAGACCTGGGTCCAGGGTGTAAAAGATACCCTGAGAACATTCAATATCCCACCCAGCCAGGCCATCAAATTTGCTAGAGACAGGAAGCTCTTTCTCCCCTCGGCGCCCTAGAGGTACAAGAGGACGGATAAAGTAAAGTAAAGTAAAACAACAACACACGCACACACACACACACAAACATACGCGCGAATACCCACACACACCAACAGCCATTCACATTGCCAATCAGCTATTCTCTCCCCTCTTCATCCAAAAATTTCAATTAACTCCCTTGAGCCCATAAGGTTTGGTAATCTGACCCAGAATATAGTTCTCCGAGTCCTGTAGAGCCTATTCATCTGAGGCTAAACCTGTATGTGTAGTCCAAGAATGAGGATTCGGAAAATGTCAAGGACCTAAGTTCAAAAGGTTAAAATGTCCAGTCAGGCATGGAAAACTCAAACAGGTCGGGGATTGACTAATGCATCCAACATATCCATAATTCGGGTTAACGAACTAAGAAAAGTTAATGAGAAATGATTCGAGAATGGCAAATTGTACAAGCAATCCGCAATTTTGAGTTTTCCGCGTTGGCGTTATCTGTGCCTGCTTGTACTTCCACGATGGGTATTCAAACTGTTACAAGCATAATCAAACACTGAGATAGAGTTACGGGCCCATGGCACTAGGGGGCGCTGAGCGGGCTGAACAGAGTTGCTGCCCATGGCACTAGGGGGCGCTGAAGAATTTACTATAAAGGCAGGGTGGGAACTCTGCACATCCCCTTCCCTCTCAGTAGTTGAGACAGCAGTGGCAGACGGTTCGAAGCTGCCGATGAAGTGACGTCTGAGGGCCCGAGGATTAGATCTGAGCCGGCCAGTGTACACCACTCAGTGCCTCGTGGAAGCCAAATTAAATTTTTTTTTTTTTTTATAGTAGAGGGTTTTATGGCGCTCGCAACTGCATAAGGTCATATGAGCGCCAAGGGGTGAGTGTCAACAGAGAAGTCTTTACAGGGAATCAGACTTAGACTGCTCACCTCTCTAGCTTCAACAGCACAAGGTCTGCTTCGACTATCAAGGCACCCCAAAATAACAGGTCACAAGAGAGTGACAAGCATACAAAAGAAGTAGAGGAAAATGACAATAGTAAAGATCAGGAAAGAAAAAGCAGCAGTTCCCTGTTGTAGATCAGGCACAGTTATGAGCATGACATGAGTCAGCCCATTTACAATTCTACTATGCTTGAACGAGAAATGTCCCCCCTTTGGGAATGGCCTAAAGACACTTCAGTCAGTGAAGCCAATTTGACCCATCAGTATTTTTGTGTCTGTATATAACTCAGCAGGTTGTTGTTGTTGTTGTTATTGATCCAGCAACATCTGGGCTCTCGCCCTTCTGTCCAATGCCATGTAGTGATAAGTGCAGGTTTGCTGCAGTTGCTGTAATGTTCCGTAGAGTGTGTTGTCGAAGTTAGGTCTCGGAGGGAGAAGGGTAGCTCTGATGTCATTTAGGGCTGTACAGTGGAAAAGGTGATGTTCCACTGTCTCATATGCATAGTCACACAAAGGACACATTGGGGGAAGTTCTGGTTTTACTCAGCAGGTAAGAACAGCCTTTTCAACCTTGCAGTAAGTCACCAGGCCAGTAACAATCATCATTTACTTAACATCAGTGATGAAAAACTCTGCGTCTTGTCCACTTGAAGACTTTGGAGTCCCTCGAACAACATGTGCTGTACATGATCTTTTCCGGGAAACAGTTTTAACCCTTGTCCTGCGGGGACCAGGTTTATGTCGCCCGATGCGTTCTGGTCCCGAGTCAGTCTAGCCCCTGGCTTAGCGCACGCGCACCGAGCATCATCTCACGTGAAATTCGGGTCCCGAGTCAGATCCCCATTCACGCAGGTCAAGTGTGTGTGCGTCAGTCTGCTTGAGTTTGTGTGTGTTTGTGGCCTTCTTCTAGAACCGCCTGCACTGGTTCGTAATCGAGGCATACGTCTCATTCAAAATACGCCAGGTTGGTAGCTCTAGATGTTCGTCCAATGAAATTATAGAAGAAATTGACCCACTTAGACATGAGGAGCTCGAAAGGATAGTCAGGAAACTAGACTTCCATTTTTCTATACAAAATCTTTCAAATGAGCTTGATTTTGTATGAAATGATACTACCTGATGTCTTGTTTGACAGTTTTGAATACCATTGTGCAGGTACAAAGAACAATTTGAGAGCAAAACATTTGGAAATTGACCTATATTATCCCCTTTCGAACCTCAGGTCATTCATAACAACAAGAGCGTCTAAAAAGGTTATTCGAATGGGCGTAACTACTCGTAATGTCTTATCAGCTTGTGAGAGGGGGTTATTCATGTGTTTGCAACACTTTATAGATAGAAAGCTATGAAAGATAGAGCGTTATTTTCTTCGTCGATTAACACACTCCCACGGTATTTGTGGCGAAAACACACATTTCCCGGCGTGTACGCTGTACACCAACAGTACACACTGAGTGACCCCGGCAGCCTGCCTGGAACGTCCAACGTAATCGGTTGCTGATAAGATTCGCATCTCAGCACAGATGCAGGACAAGAGTTAAATATTAAGCATAAGGCAACAAAGGGGTTAAAATGTTTCGCATTATTAATCTTTAGTGTCAAGAAGCCCCCATGGGGTACATAACTCAATTAATCTTTAAATTTGTGAATCTACTGGTTTTCCCCCTGTATTCTTCAGTTTCATGTATAATTACCTATATGGCAGAGGGAGAGCTGCAGAAGGGCCTCGTTGGGTGCCTCTTTCTCCTGGCCATCAGCCGCGTTATCCACAATCTGTACATAGCTGGCTGGAAACAGTTTGTCCACATTGCCCGCGTGATTACCTCGCCACCTGTGGGGGAGATAAATGAGAGGGAGCGTGGTGAAATCAGGGTCTCGCCAAAATAATCAAAGCGAAGAAACTTGCATTTTCCCGCAGGTTTGTGTTTTTAAAAATCAAATTCTTATTTTTTGGCTCAACACCTTTTAAGCCCATTAAAGAACTGTCATTTTTGAGTGGATTTTTCTGAAAAATGTTGATTAAAGGCACAAAAATTGTAAACTTTCAGTTACCACGGACTCTTAAGCTAAGGAAATAACAAATCTTTGAGGGCCATTTTCTCACTAATTTTATCTCTAAAACAGGAAACCCCCCCACCTCCTTCTTTCGCAAATATCTTGACTTGTATTCAAGATAAATGGATATTTTTTCATCCAAATATAGACAAGTGAACAAGCTTTAAGATGATATGAACAACTCTACATGCCCCAAAATTAATGAGAGCCTGATTCCACTATGCTGCCTCACAAATACATTTCTGTTACAGACATCATCCCCATGTACTTTTTCTCCTTCAGACACAGAGTATTTGTTTGTTTATTGGAGTAGATGAAACTTATTGACACAATGTTTAGCATTTCGTATCGAGAAAAAGGCCTCACTGACAGAGAGGAACAGAGAACAGAACTAGGACCCACCAGTGGCACCTTCTTTAGCTTTAGTAAGTGTTTTACGGCACTTGCAACACAATTAGGTCATATAAGTGCCAAAGATTAGAGGTGTTACAAGAGAATAACAAACGCAAAAAAGAAGGAGGAGTGATATGGACGATAGATGTTAGATAGGAAAGAAAAAGCAAACCACACCAGAGCACCCGCCAACCACCCACTGAGGCACCTTCAAACCACCTGCTATGAGCATTTGATCTGGTGGAAAAAGCAACAACAACAAAAAAGAAACAAAAAGAAACAAAATAATCTTGAGATGGTACACATAGCACAAAATATCACGCATGCAAACCAGAAGATAGATGCTCACAAGTGGAACACCACTGTCATAGCGGATGCACCTCCCGTTGCTGAACAGCAGGTCTATTTATTTGTCCCTAACCTGTCATTTCCAGAAAATAATATGACAGTTTACAATATATTCATCTTGTGCTTAACACACTTTTTCTTAGCCAGACACTCCAGGAGGCCATTTCTATTCTGTAGGCAAAAACCGTATTGTACCATGAGCAGAATCTCAGAAGCAAATGCATCACACCAACACTGAAAGTGACAACATTACAAGTTCTGTAAAAAAATTGTTTTTATTGAAGTCTCAAATCAGACCATAACTTATTCCACACATTTGACTGTGGTTCACATGTGTTATCTCATATTTTTTATAAACCGAATAGATTTCAGTGAAATCAGAATGTGCCACCTCAACTTTTCTAATAAATTCTAGTGAAGCCAGTAAATCCCAGAATATTATAACAATTGATTTTGTGAACCCAAAGACAAATTTCAGAGTAACCTGTGAAATGCACTCTATCTTGCCTGCCTCACCCCCTCATTAAAAATGTTCCAATTACAATTTCATTTCAGCCCACAGATTTAACCATAATTTATTCTGCCAACAAGACTGCCACTTTTCTCCTTGACAATGGATTACCGACGTAGACAGTTTCAACTGTATATTTAGAAATTTGAACCTTTTTGGATCCCTAGAATGAAGATGGAAACATTTAAACCTATTGAAAACTATGATTTATCCTGAGAGAGAGAGAGAGAGAGAGAGAGAGAGAGAGAGGGAGGGAGAGAGAGAGAGACAGAGAGAGAGAAAGAGAGAGAGAAAGAGAGAGAGAACAAGCACTGTTCACACACTCAAGAGGGCGTGGCTTACCAAGGCTGGTCCAGAACGACGACGTTAGTGATGTATGACCCTCGCTTGAAGGACAACTCATCTTTTGTGGTGGCGTGGAAATCATACAGAGCTTTAACTGTCACCTCCTGGAAGGCATCAAAGAGAGGGCAATGAGGAAGGCATCAAAGAGAGGGCAATGAGGAAGGCATCAAAGAGAGGGAAATGAGGAAGGCATCAAAGAGAGGGCAATGAGGAAGGCATCAAAGAAAGGCATCAAAGAAGAGGGCATTGTTCAAGCAGAAATTCAGATGCATGTGTAAGGCAGCATGGTGAAATCAGGCGCTCGTCATAATAATGAAAGCGAAAAAACTGGCATTTTTCCGCAGGTTCGGGAATTTGTATCGCCTTTTTCTTATTTGGCTCATCACCTTTCATGCCCATTAAAGAACACATTTCTGAATGGATTTTTACTGAAAAACGTTGATTAAAGGCATAAAAGATGTACATCTTAGGTTTCTACGGACTCTCAAACTAAGGATATAACTGAACTTTGGCGGCCATTTTCTCTTTAATTTTACCACTGAAACCAGGCGACCCCCACCTCCTTCAATCGACAATATCTTGACTTGTATCAAAGATAAAAAGATATTTTTTTCACTGAAAGCAAGGCAGATGGAGAGACTTTAAGATGATACCATAACTCCATATGCCCAAAAATTGATGAGCGCCTGATTCCACTACATCGTGACACATTTGTTTTTATTTGCTTTTTAAAAAAAGAGCTTAAGACATTTACCATTGTGTTCACAGTATGGTAATGGCAGTGTCCACACCACACACAGGGATTCCCCAATCACACTGTGTTCACAGTATTGTAATGGCAGTGCTCACACCACACACAGGGATTCCCCAATCACAATGTGTTCACAGTATGGTAATGGCAGTGCTCACACCACACACAGGGATTCCCCAATCACACTGTGTTCACAGTATGGTAATGGCTGTGTCCACACCACACACAGGGATTCCCCAATCACACTGTGTTCACAGTATGGTAATGGCAGTGTCCACACCACACACAGGGATTCCCCAATCACACTGTGTTCACAGTATGGTAATGGCTGTGTCCATACCACACACAGGGATTCCCCAATCACACTGTGTTCACAGTATGGTAATGGCAGTGCTCACACCACACTCAGGGATTCCCCAATCACACTGTGTTCACAGTATGGTAATGGCAGTGCCCACACCACACACAGGAATTCCCCAATCACATTGTGTTCACAGTATGGTAATGGCTGTGCCCACACCACACACAGGGACTCCCCAATCACATGGTGTTCACAGTATGGTAATGGCAGTGTCCACACCACACACAGGGATTCCCCAATCACACTGTGTTCACAGTATGGTAATGGCTGTGTCCACACACAGGGGTTCCCCAATCACACTGTGTTCACAGTATGGTAATGGCTGTGTCCACACCACACACAGGGATTCTCCAATCACACTGTGTTCACAGTATGGTAATGGCAGTTCCCACACACAGGGATTCCCCAAACAAAGAGACACCTCTAAATAACATCTGCTTTTTATAGTGGCTTCCCTTGCAAACAAAAATAATTTGGGGGGGGGGGGGGTACGAGGGGAGCACTACAGTACGATAATCAAATACTGAAGTAATAGTTTTAGCGCTCATTGGAGTGTAGGTCAGTCGGTTTGAAAAGTTGAAGGATGGCAAAGCAATCGTATACACAGCTGAGAGGAGATGACTGAGCTTATTATATAAGAGTAGCAAAGAAGTTATTGAAAGTATTACTGCATCAGATGACATTTACTTTGACTCTCTGGCTCATTGACACCACACACCCCAAGTCCCCAATCATTCCAGATGCAGTTTTCGTTCCAAATTGTGTGATTAGCAAGGAAGCTATAGAACATGCGGCTACAGAACATGCGAACAAATTTTGCTTACATCTCAAATTGCTAGGTCTTATCCCACCTCCCAAGGTGCAGGGTCTTCTTTTGTTTTTGCTTAAGTATGAGTTTTACAGCACTTGCAACTCAATTAGGTCATATAAGTGCCGAAAATTAGAGGTTTTACAAGTGAGTAACAAGCACAAAAAAGAAAGAGGAGAGATAAGGATGATAGATGTTTGATAGGAAAGAAGGAACAAACCACACCAGAGCACCCGCTAACCACCCACTGGTGCAGAGTCTGTTAAACACTGATGAAACACTCCTGGGGAATAGCACTTTATGCCAAAACGAGTACGTTCGAACAGTACATCGTTCGTAATTTCCCTCGAACTCTCGTACTGTGACACCTGCTTACCATCGCACATTTTTTTTCTGCTAGTCAGAAAAGATAGAATCAGTGATGCGGGTAGGACTTGAGAACAAATCAGTGACAAGTGATCTAAATACGTGAGGTCACAAGGTTTGACTGTAAAGAAACAATATTCCTTTATGGGGGTTTGGCCTCCGGCCTCTAAAATGGCTCCTACTATCTCTCAAACATTCAGAAATCTTTGCTAAAGGCTACAGACCTGTTTCTCACTCTGTGGATTAGTGTAGCAGTCTTCGGAATAATACAGTTCCTGAAAGAGAAAAAAATAACATGACAAACAATAAATATACTGTGGGATCTAAAATCTACAAAGGGGCTCGACAACTGCAGTAATCTGGACATTATTAAAGATGACCCTGGTTAGAATTTCACCACAGGGACAATTAGGATCAAAACCCTCAAACCCAACATGAAATTAGCAAGCACAATGTGAATTTCCTCTGTTTCTATATTTAATGCACTAGGCCTGTCATCATTAACGCTGCTTGATTTTGAATTGTTCAATCTAGGTTCTATATCTTATAACAAACTGAATTGAATCCGTTGCACTAGATTCACTGACAGCCGCATCCAAATTTGTGGGAAACTAGAGCATTTTTTTTATAGGTAAGTAAGTAAGTAAGTAAGTTTATTCAGTGTTTAAGGCCACTGGCCCACATCACATCACACAAAACACTCAATAAATAAAGTTTCCATAATGAATAAGTACAGGTTGTGCACATATCCCTTATCATGAGTCAAACATTGAATATTTCTGTCACTGGCCCGAGTCAGGCTGGGAGGGATTAACAATTTCCTTTGATGGACAAAGTGTGAACAATAGAAAATAAAGCGAAATTCATCTTCAATTTCATGAGAGTTACACCTCTCACATAAGGGCGAATTAGTTAATTTCCACCGATAGAGATTGTTATTTAATGGAAGGCTATGGGTTTTTAACAAAGCTATGACTCTTCTGGTACAATACCGTGGGAGGTTGGTGATATAATCAGCTGTTTCTTGAAACGAAATTGTTAGAGAGAAAACATTATATTTGCGACAGATTTCTTCCTTTATGTTCTGCACAGAATCTTTTTAGATAATTTTCCCCCCAAGGACACCAACATCATCATTGTGACAAGATTGAGGAAAAACGATTGACTTAGTAGGACACTGTGCTAAAATGAAATGCACATTGTATTGGTCAATAACTGATAACTAGATGGACATCAGTCTTTTATATTCCAAACTGAACTCTAGCTAAACCAATACATTTAATATGTCATTGTTAATTGTGGTCACAACACATGTGCGAGCTGACACAAAACATTGAGCTGATGAATGCTCACACCTGTAGCTTGACACAGGGGTTGTGAGAGTCACCATACATATATTTTTTTGCTAGTTGATTTCCAGGGTTTTTTTCTTCCTTCTCCCCCCCCCCCCCAACAAAACAACAACAGCAAAACAATCTCAGCAATTCTGGTTCCATAAATTTTTACTTTAGTCTGTACCATTCTGTACCTCCTCTTTTCCTCCCCAAACAAAGTTGTACACACACACACATACATATATATATACGCAAAAACACACACACACACACACCAAGCAGTCGGCAATGAAACCAACCTTGCGTAGCCCATCACACGCTAAGCGGCAAAGCGGGCCCGCCACGTCACGGACTAAAGCTCAAAGAGGAAGTGCTATACCTTGGTAGGGGAGAATCTTTGCCACAACTCTGCATTTCTGTTTTAAGTAACTTTGTCACCGGCTTTCCGATGAATAATACCGTATCTAGATCTAGTACTAGATCTAGGTGACCGGCTCTGAGTGGGCACAAAAATGCTAGCCACACGAGGTCGCAGAAATCCCCCATGGGCCAGTAGCAGTAGGCTAATCGACCGAATTTGTTCGAGTAGCAGAACGCACGCTAGCACGGGCCGTAAAAAAAAAAACTATCAAAAAATCTTGTTCAAACTCAAAGAGGCAGACTCTCCAGATTTTCCTGATGGCTCCACTGCCAGTGAGGTCAGTGTTTTCAAGCTCACAATAATAGTAAGCATTAAGCCAGTGACACAGCCTTTCAGTGGGTGGTCTCGGGGCCCGTGTCCTTGAGTCAGACATGATAACAATATCTCAATAAAAACATGACGCTGCACAATGGCAACCAGCAACGGCATTTTTGTAAGATTTCGGGGGTTTCCAGAAACCTTGATCTACACCAAAGTGGGCATTGCCCTACCTATAGGAGAAGTTCGGTTTCATTGGTGTGTATATTTGTTCAGTTATAGAGAAAACTCTCCTTGTTTCTTAATGAAACTGAACAAGGGGAAAAAAAACTTTACCTTTGATTTTCTCAAAACAGCAGTTTTTGGGATAGCCCACTTGTCCTTAAAAGAGATCAATATTGTGTATTACGTCAATGTAAAAATCATAATTATGTTAGTATTTTACTTGCCATTAAGACCAAATTTCCTCAAATGTCCCCACGCGAACAACCCCCCCCCCCCTCCACCCCCCCCAAAACAGTGGTATCATGGTCTTTAGCACACAGCCAGCTCACATGCTCTGAATCAGTATCCACAAGTTTTTCTGTAGCAGGATGAACCAGCTTCGCTCCCTTGTAGAGATGGCACTTGGTGAAATGTTCAATCAAGTCTGACATGCTGCGGAACCGGAAAGCACCAAGCATGAATTTCTTCCTGCAGTACTCAATCTGAAAGTGGGTGATCCTACGTTGATTTCTGTCGAAAAGAAGCCACAAAAATAAAAACAATCTTTAGAATTTTGCACTGACAATTTAACACAAATGTTATTGACGTAAAAGATAGATATTCAATAAATAAACCACTCCTTCAAATAAATAAAAAGCAAACTCGGTGAATCACGTAGAAACAAAGCAGCCATTACACAAATACTTAAAACAAAGCACAAACCTCGCACATAGTACAGACCTCACAAATAGTACAAAATACCAACCTAGCACAAATTTATTTATTTTATTTTTTTGGGAAGTGTTTTACAGTGCTTGTAACTGCATAAGGTCATATGAGTGCGCAGGACACATTTAAGTTGGAAGGAAATTTGGAATTTTACCCAGGTCCCAGCCTCGAAGCCTCCTCTTATCAATTCGGGACCACCAAGGGATCTTTAACACCTCTGAGATTTTTCACCCTTGTCCGAGAAGGCTAGGAGTAGATCTTTCCTACCAGAAGACCAGGGGTGTGGCTGAAAGACAGCAGTATGAAGGAGCCAAGGAGTAGCAGTAGAAAGGCAGCAGAAAAAGGAAACAATTTAGATAAGAAAAATTTCTGAAGTTATCCGGGTTCGAACCCGTGACATATTGAACGAGAGGCGAGCACCTTAACCTCTTGGTCACGAGAGCCCCCATACAAAATATAAAGTACAAACCTCACACAAAGTACAGAGTACAAACTTTACGCATAGTACAAACCTCACACAGAGTGCAAAGTACAGACCTCACAAAATATAGTACAAACCTCACACAGAGTACAAAGTACAGACCTCACAAAATATAGTACAAAACTTACACAGAGTGCAAAGTACAGACCTCACACAAAGCACAAAGTACAGACCTCACACAGAGTGCAAAGTACAGACCTCACAAAATATAGTACAAACCTCACACAGAGTACAAAGTACAGACCTCACAAAATATAGTAAAAAACTCACACAGAGTACAAAGTACAGACCTCACAAAATATAGTACAAACCTCACATAGAGTACAAACTACAGACCTCACAAAAAGCACAAACTACAGACCTCACACAGAGTGCAAAGTAAGAGTGCAAAGTACAGACCTCACATATAGTACAAACCTGACACAGATTGCCAAGTACAAACCTCACACAAAGTACAAAGTACAGACCTCACACAGAGTGCAAAGTACAGACCTCACACAAAGTACAAAGTACAGACCTCACACAAAGCACAAACCTCACACAAATCCCACCCACAGCACAGACTTCACACAAAGCACAAACCTCACACAAATCCCACCCACAGCACAGACTTCACACAAAGCACAAACCTCACTGAGAGAGTGAAACAGTTTTCCAAAGAGCTCGGTCGCACCAAGAAGACTCCGCTCAGCGGGATTGCTCGTAAGAAGCATTCAGCACTTGTTCTGTCATACTCTGGGTAGTACCAGCTGATAATGACGATAGAGGATTATATATACAAAAATTATATAAAAGGAGTTCTAATATGATGGACGTCTTCCATAAGTTGGAGCATGTCAAAACTGCGCAACGATAGCTGTCGATAGAGATATATATACCAAAATTATTTAAAAGGAATTCTTTTTTAAAATATATAGTAGAGAGTTTTACGGCGCTCGCAACAGCATAAGGTCATATGAGCGCAAAGGGGTGGGTGTCAACAGAGAAGTCTTTACAGGGAATCAGACTTAGACTGCTCACCTCTCTAGCTTCAACAGCACAAGGTCTGCTTCAACTATCAAGGCACCCCAAAATAGCAGATCACAAGAGAGTGATAAACATACAAAAGAAGTAGAGGAAAATGACAATAGTAAGGACCAGGAAAGAAAAAGCAGCAGTTCCCTGTTGTAGGTCAGGCACAGTTATAAGCGTTACATGAGTCAGCCCATTTACAATTCTACTATGCTAGAACGAGAAATATCCCCCCTTTGGGAATGGCCTAAAGACACTTCAGTCAGTGGCACTGCCCCGGGGGTACACTTCAGTCAGTGGCACTGCCCCGGGGGGTAAAGGAGTTCTAACATGATGGACGTCTTCAATAAGATGGAGCACGCTAAAACTGCGCAACGACAGCTGTTGATAGAGATATATATACAAAAATTATACAAAAGGAGTCCTAACATGAAAGGAAGTCTCCACAACGTCTCTAATCCTTTTTAAAAAATCTTTTTTTCCCCCTTTCTTCCCTCTCATTTCGAATTGCACTCTTTATCATCTGAACTCTCGATGCTTTCTTGGTATCTTTTGTTTTGCTGCTTTCTTTTTTCCTTTATAGTACCACAAATCTATTTGTACACCTATACATCTGTATTCTCAATATGATTGTTGTCTATTAAGTACCTAATAATGGCCTGCATTATAAAATGTTCAAGTACATGTGTAGCTCAAAAAGGTTTCCCATTTAGTGTTTGTCTTTCCCTAAAAGAAATTAGTGGTTTACATCTCACAAGAACAGTATCCAACACAAAGATGTTTACAAAGCAATACTTTAATCATAGTGAAATGGAACAAAGAAAAAAGCAAATGCACTGTCTTTCTCTCAACGTTAAATCTTTCTTTTTAAAAATGGTGTAACATATACATCCGCCTATAAATACATACAAACACCATGATAAAGTTGAGAAAAGAAAAAGAGCAAAGGCCTTACTTCTCTTCTTCAAAGCCAAGCTTTTTGCAGACAGGGTATTTGAGCCGGACTCTGACCGACTTGCCCGGGTAGGTGAGGTAGTGCTCCCTGTAGTAGTCCACCAAATCGGGAATGCTGTCGTGCCACACCTCATTGCCCACCAGATAGCGCCTGCCGTTGCACTTGATCACACTGTGAGTTACATTATCCTGGGCCCTGGGAAGTTAGAAAAGAAACATGACAATGACAATGACAATCTTTATTCATCTCGAAGGGAGAAATTAGTCTTGGTCGTTAACGATGGCAGTAGACATTACAAAAGTTAGACCTAAAGGTGCACTCATGCAAAAACACAACAAGACAGGACATTATGCCTAGTAAATACATGTCTCAAGTGCTGGGACAACCCGCTCGGTAAAACATTCGTTCTCTCTCTCTCTCTCTCTCTCTCTCTCTCTCTCTCTGTTTCATTTGTAGCACTGTGTGTTCAGTAACCTCACTGCAGTTGGTACAAATGAATTTCTATATCTACAAGCGTTTCAACAAGACAATAGACGACGTTTAGTCACCCAAATTCTCCCCAAAAGGGAGGCCCCAAGTGTTGAATAGTAAGAGAGTACAGTTAAACAAATAATAACAATGTCAGTGCAACAACTTTTACCTGGGCGGTCACAAGGGTGTGTACCTTCGAGCAAGATGTAATATTATAGAGATATCTGGCAAAGGAATAAGGTGGAGATCTAATACTCTTGGCTATTTTCATCTGTCAGCACCTTTTGTACCTACACCCATTCATCATTTAACTACAAGCCATTCTGTGCTTGGTTTTATCTTTGCTTTTGCATATATGTCATTAGTTATCTTTGCTTTTGCATATATGTCATTAGTTATCTTTGCTTTTGCATATATGTCATTAGTTATCTTTGCTTTTGCATATATGTCATTAGTTATCTTTGCTTTTGCATATATGTCATTAGTTATCTTTGCTTTTGCATATATGTCATTAGTTATCTTTGCTTTTGCATATATGTCATTAGTTATCTTTGCTTTTGCATATATATCATTAGTTATCTTTGCTTTTGCATATATGTCATTAGTTATCTTTGCTTTTGCATATATGTCATTAGTAATCTTTGCTTTTGCATATATGTCATTAGTAATCTTTGCTTTTGCATATATGTCATTAGTTATCTTTGCTTTTGCATATATGTCATTAGTTATCTTTGCTTTTGCATATATGTCATTAGTTATCTTTGCTTTTGCATATATGTCATTAGTTATCTTTTTAGTCTCTGTTCTAAAGGAAATACAGTATTTGTCTGCTGCTTCTATTGAGATGGGCTGCATTGTTGTTGAAAATTGTATATATACTTCCCCTCATCAATTTTGTGAGTATATGGAGCATGAAACCCAGTACATTGTAGAAGTGGCTGGAACTAACAAGGGATAATAATAAAATAATAAATAGCCTTTATATAGCGCATATCCCCGCTCAACAGCAGGCTTTATGCACTTTACACTATATTATTACCCCAGCAGACCATAGAACACTCTGAAACATTCTCAGCTTCCCGGGAAGCATACAGTGCAAGCAGCTGATTAAGCGCTCAAACACTAACAAACTGACAAGATCTTTCACTGTCTATAGGCGGGTACCCATTCCCACCTGGGTGAAGTGAGGAAAATTCGTGTAAAGCGCCTTTCCCAAGGACACAACGTCGGGTCCCTGACGTGATTCGAACCCACGACCTTACGGTTGAGAGTCCGAGAGCCTAACCACTAGGCCACCGACGCCACACCTGGATACACAATCATAACTGTTACTTTTGAAACAGAATTTGGCAATCATGGTTTGATATTCATTTCTCTGCTCGGATGCCTTAAAACAATAAAAAAAACTGTTATATCATGGTCCTTTCCTGCAACTCATCTAGTCAAGTTCTCGAAATAGGTTATTCTTGATCTATCTCCGCCTCTTTTGCCTCCTCTATTCTTTAAAAGAGAGAAAGATGTTCAAGACCTTAACGTTGCTTTATGCGGGCTTCTTTCATCACTAACTCATTTAATCTATTTTCCTGTCAAGGAACTCTCAAGTCTCTTGAGAGACCACATATCTGTTGCATCTATTTGTTTTAAGTATCTTTAGTAATTGTCCAGCATTCGCACCATGCAAAACAGACTTTACTTACAAGAATGAAAGAGTGAAACCCTGGTTGCCGTCACGGACCAGAAACGTTCCATCTCCATGGCAACGCTGCTCCATCAGGACCCTCTGGGCATCTTTACGCATCAAGGCCCCATGGTACCACAACTGAGAGGACAGGGGCCGTTCTTCATCTGCATCTTCATCATCACTGTCACTATCCTAGAAATAAAAAAATAGAAAGTCTGAGGTCATGATCACTCAGGTTAAAGAAACTATGTATATCAACGGTGTTACAAATTGACTGTGTTACAGATTTCAGGAAGATCTTTCAGTAACACCCTTCTCCCTCCCCTCTACCCCCCCCCCCCCCCCCAAAAAAAAAAATAATCTAAAATTAGAAAATATATATATACTTCTGATGTAAGCAATGAGAAAATACCCCCCCCCCAAAAAAAATAAAAAATTTTTTTTAATCAGCCTGCAGTAACTTTTATACTATCTGTAGTGCATTTTTATTGAAGATCTACAGATCAACATTGGCAATGACTTTAAAACAAAAGGGTGGCCAGCACACTTGGGTGGGGGTGGGAGTATAAGATGGGCAATTAACAAAGTTGCTTTTAGTTTAGCTTTAGTAAGCGTTTTACAGCACTTTCAGCACAATAAGGTCTAATTAGTGCCGAAGATTAGAAGTGTTACAAGAGAGTAACAAACACAAAAAAGGAGGTGACGTTTGATAGGAAAGAAGAAGCAAACCACACCAGAGCACCCGCCAACCACCTACAAAGTAGCTTTTGCAAAGAAAAATCCAGTCAATAGGCACAACTAATTTGGGGTTAAAACAGAAAACAAATAGTAAGAATAATAACTGTTCTGCTATTGAGAATAACAGAAATAGCAGGGGAAAAAGGCATCCCTGCATGCCACATATACAAAAGTAAAAAAACCCACAAACCTCGTAAAAGGATTCATAAATCATTTCATCCTCTTCCTCCTCTTCAACAGCTTGCACAGCCGGGGAGAAACACAGGCAGGAGTCCGTCAGAATGACATTAAAGTCACACCATTTCTGCATTATTGAGTTCAGAGAAAACATTTGGATATCAAGGAGGATGAATTTATGGCATTAACTCCCCCCCCCCCCCCCCCCCCCCCCCCATGATTTCGAGCATCATCCAAAGATCTCAAGCATCATGAAAAATTATGAAAATCAAAATTCACTGATTCGTGTTCCCGTGATACACAGTTAAACGTAATTTCTACAGGCATTTCAAACTTAACGATAATGTTAGGCACTTTAGGCAAGTACATTTGATGAGATAATAAGAACATCTTCTTAAGTAATCCTGTATGGTTAAAAATAGGATTGAAAGAGGGACCAGCATGATTATTATCTTCTGTGGTGGCTCAATTTAAAGTTTTCAGACTCCTCTTTTAGCTATCATTTGAAAAAAACAAACCCACTTGGAACTGAAGAGCATAATGTCTTAATCAATCATGTTAAAAAATTCATAGGTGATCTGTGCATAACTGTTCCGGTTTGTTTTTTTCAGAATTGAAAACAAAACCTGCTAATACTATTGACAATTCTTGGGATATTTTCAGTGGAGACTTTCCCCAACACATTTCAACAAAAGGTGAGGTACAACATTTTTTCATTATGCTGTCTATTACTGTTTATCATCACTTATTATGTCTTATCACTTATTATCTCATCTTTCTAGACAAAGGTGATATTCAAATTATAATGGCATTTAAAAAAAAAGTGTTTACCTTAGCAACATTTAAACAAACCCTTGTTAATTAATTGAAACTAAAGCAAAATACTTTCTACTATCTATGTATCTTAAGGAATAAACATATGTGAGGCAGCGTTGTGGAATCAGGCTCTCGTCAATTTTTGGGCATATTGAGTTATTGGTATCATCCTAAAGCTTGTTCATTTGTCTTGCTTTCAATGAAAAAATTATCCATCCATCTTTAATAGAAATGGAGATATTTTGGATCGAAGGAGGTGGGGTCATCTGGTTTAACTCTTTTTATCCGGGCTACGAGTATACTCGTAACGAGGACCAGTCCGGGCTACGAGTATTCTCGGAACAGCGATACGGTCACGTCAAAGAAGCTAGTTCTACTTGTAATTACCAAAATACGCAAATACGGCGATGGTAGCTCTGCCTGAATAATATTTTAATTTTCCAATGAACAGTGGTTTCTTTGTTTTTGATGGGTGTAGAAGCTTGAAAGATGTCTCGAAAACGCACATTCACGACCGACGAAGTTCTTTTTGAAGTGGCGCTGGGTTATGAGGGGGAATGATACTAATTTGATGAAAGTGACTCTGAAATAAGAGCCATAAATTCTGTTGTGGATGATAAGAAACAGGACTTAGACTCATCTAATAGCGATTCAGATCATGGTGAAGGGGTCAGCTGGAATTTGCGCTCGATGGGTAGGGCTAGATCTAGATTTATAAAATCCAATGGGGCGTTGTGGGCGCGGCAATCAGGGTCAATTTCGAAGGTGGAATACACCTCAAAATCTACATTGTGCTATTGGTGTATTTCCTAACCACATACATTTACAAAAACTACATTCAATTTCTAACTTAACTGCCAAATTTCCTTAAAACCTTAGAGTAAACGTAAGAAATATAGCACTTTGAACTATACGCACTGACTTCCCACTCATACGGCGCGGCGGCCCCAGGACCGGTACAGAGTCCGTGGCGGTACGGCTAGGATAAAAAGAGTTAAGAGATAAAATTAGCGAGAAAATGGCCGCCAAAACTTGATAAATTCCAAAGCTGGAGAGTCCATGGAAACTGTAAATTTTTTTTTTTTGTGCCTTTAATCAACATTTTTCGATGAAATCCTCTAAGGAATGTGTTTGTAAATGGACATAAAAGATGTTGAGCCAAAAAACAAAAATTTGATAAAAATTGATAAGTGGGGAGAAAACTGCTGTTTTTTCGATTTCATTATTTTGATGAGAGCCTGATTCCACCACGCTGCCTCACATATCACTGAAAGAAAACAGTCAGTAAAAAGCAAAACAAAAGGAATGCTTAAAAAAATTAAACAAAGAAACTATCTTACTCTTTCTGAAGCATATTTCAGTAACAGGGTGCCCTGTTTCTTTGAATCAGTCAAGTCAGCTGCAACAAAATGCATAAAATATAACAAATGAAAGAAAGACTGAGAAGAAGAATAAACCAGAACATTATTGGAAGAGAAGCGAGAACAAAACTGTATTACGTAGTCATGTTAACTCTTTCCGGACGTAGTTGTTTTCGGGTCTAGACGTAATTAACTTGTGACTTGATTCGGTTACACAGGTGATGTACAAAATAACTTCATATAAGCAGAACCACCACTTTTTAGTTTTAGTTGAGGTTTTACGGCCCTCGCAACTGCATAAGGTCATATGAGCGCCAGAAGGTTAGAGGTGTTACAAGAGAGTAACAAACATAAAAAAGAAGACGTGGAGATCATCCCTGCATGAAGCCTAATAGACAGACGGAAAGAGGAGCAGATCCAGAAACACAGCTGTTAAATTATCCCTCACCTCCCAATCTCCATAAGAAAAGAAGCAAAATACATTCATGACAAATTATATAAAAGTTTGAGTCGTAACTTACATGCTGACTTATCACAATGCCAACAGATTTTCTGAAGAACAGATTTGGAAAACAAGATATATATATATCTTGTTTTCCAAATCTGTTCTTCAGAAAATCTGTTGGCATTGTGATAAGTCAGCATGTAAGTTACGACTCAAACTTTTATATAATTTGTCATGAATGTATTTTGCTTCTTTTCTTATGGAGATTGGGAGGTGAGGGATAATTTAACAGCTGTGTTTCTGGATCTGCTCCTCTTTCCGTCTGTCTATTAGGCTTCATGCAGGGATGATCTCCACGTCTTCTTTTTTATGTTTGTTACTCTCTTGTAACACCTCTAACCTTCTGGCGCTCATATGACCTTATGCAGTTGCGAGGGCCGTAAAACCTCAACTAAAACTAAAAAGTGGTGGTTCTGCTTATATGAAGTTATTTTGTACATCACCTGTGTAACCGAATCAAGTCACAAGTTAATTACGTCTAGACCCGAAAACAACTACGTCCGGAAAGAGTTAACATGACTACGTAATACAGTTTTGTTCTCGCTTCTCTTCCAATAATGTTCTGGTTTATTCTTCTTCTCAGTCTTTCTTTCATTTGTTATATTTTATGCATTTTGTTGCAGCTGACTTGACTGATTCAAAGAAACAGGGCACCCTGTTACTGAAATATGCTTCAGAAAGAGTAAGATAGTTTCTTTGTTTAATTTTTTTAAGCATTCCTTTTGTTTTGCTTTTTACTGACTGTTTTCTTTCAGTGATATGTGAGGCAGCGTTGTGGAATCAGGCTCTCGTCAAAATAATGAAATCGAAAAAACAGCAGTTTTCTCCCTGTTTAGAAATTTTTATCCAATTTTTGTTTTTTGGCTCAACACCTTTTATGTCCATTTACAAATACATTCCTTAGAGGATTTCACAGAAAAACGTTGATTAAAGGCACAAAAAAAAAAAATTTACAGTTTCCATGGACTCTCCAGCTTTGGAATTTATCAAGCTTTGGCGGCCGTTTTCTCGCTAATTTTATCTCTTAACTCTTTTTATCCTAGCCGTACCGCCACGGACTCTGTACC